AACAGTAAGTTAGTATCACAAAGTACACAATATCATCACTAACAAAGTGAATAAACTTGTTCTGGAGTTAAAGTGCGTCCAAATGCTTTATTCAACTTGACTAAACAGTGATTCACTGAATCGGAAATCTGTAAAATAATAGAATAGGAAAATATAACAAAGTGATTCATACTGACGACTATTGTATTTTTATATGGAACTACAAATATTGTAACATGATAAATGAGAAGTTTAGCACAGTTTGTTTTTGTGTGTAATGGTTGAGTTGATGACAACATGGGTTCTTTGAAACAGTGTTTGAGATGTGAATAGTTCACGAGTGTGATCGTTGAACACTCGATGAACAGTGGTGAATACAAGTCATCGATCTGTTTATAATATATGACAAATAATGAACTTCACTTTGAATCTGTATTTTTCAGTGGTTGTTACTATCATGCACAGTCCACCTGACTCTTGTATACGGAAAGGAATTATAGCAAATCGTCCATCATTCATTCCATTATGTATATGTTTGCAATATATATGCGCCACACAAAACAATGAAAATTCGAGAGGAGTACAAAGAAAGAAAATAAAAGCTAATGAGCGCAACAAATAAAAAGAGAGAACAATAACGAAGAGATTGGTGTAAGGTAATGTGCTAGTAATCAGGGAACGCAAAGGTACAGTCGGAAGAAATCTTTCAGGTAAGGGAGACAGAACCACCTTTTATGAAGAAAGTAAAAGAAGGTTGCAGCAGGATCACCACTGGCTTCTATTCTGAGCCATATCTGATAACGTCTCTAGCCAATGTGTAGCACCATCTCTCAGAGTCGTGAAGGACCAACAAAAGCCAGTCCTTGGCAGCTTTCTTTCATACCACGACACCATGTCATGCACCAACCACCTCTCCGCTTCTTCCAACCAGTCCCAGAGTCGGCAAATAATGCACGACGTGGAATTCTCTGAGACGACATTCGGAGAACATGTCCAAGCCACCGAAGCCGGTGTTTCAGGATGGTGCCCGAACACACGATGCCGAACCTCTGCATTACTGACCTAGTGTTGCCACTGAATGTCAGCAATCCTTCGGAGACAACGATGATCGAACACAGAGAGTCGTCTAACGTCCTCAACTCGGAGAGACCAGGTTTCACAAGCATAGAGCAAAACTGCTCTCACCGACGCGTTGTAGACCTGACCTTTTACAGCCAGACTAACATCACGAAGGCGCCAAAGATGGCCCAGGTTGGAATAAGCCGCTCTGGCTTTCACTATACGTGCATTGATCGCATCACTCACACCCCCACCAGCACTTATGCAGCTACCCAGATACACGAACTTCTCGACCACTTCTATCTGCTCACCATCCAGGGTGAGTACAGGATTAGAATCCCGCCAGTCTTGTAGAAGTACTTTGCACTTCGAAAGTGCAAAGCACATACCATACCTACGGACACTGATTGCCAACTTATTATGTGCAGATTGCATGTCTTGGGCATTATCGCACAGTAAGACAATATCGTCCGCATACTCAAGGTCGAGAAGTCTTTCTCCGGGCAACAGATCCACACCACCATTACTTACATTCATCAGAGCTGTTTCCAGAATGTCAACAATGGTGAAGTTGAAGAGGAATGGTGAGATTGGGCAACCCTGCCTAACCCCACTGCTCGAATGGAACAATGGAGAAAGGTGGTTGTATGCCCTCACTCTGCCTGAGGTGTTTTTATACAGGGCTTTTAGAATGTTAATAAACTTCTCAGGCACACCCTTCTTCAATAGACAATCCCAGAGAACAGTCCTGTCCAACGAATCGAAGGCAGCCCTAATGTCAAGAAACACTACGATTGTTGGCCTTTGAAAAGTATGACGGTGTTCTAACATTTGGCGGAGGGTGAAGATATGATCAATACATCCTCGACTAGAATGAAAACCAGCCTGCTCCTCGCGAGTCAGTCTTTCTCGGATTTTGAACAACCTACGAAGTATGACGGAAGCCAAGAGCATGGACGCAATCAGAAGTAGACTTATCCCCCGATAGTTGTTACAGGAACGACGTGAACCCTTTTTAAAGATAGGGACAACTATCGACTCATTCCATGACGTTGGTACACTCTCTAGATCCCAAACCTTTGTAAACAACGTCGTCAATTCCTTAGTCAAAAAGTCACCACCATCTTTAAAAAGAGCCGGAGGTAAGTCATCTGGGCCAGGTGATTTGTAACGCTTCAAGAGTTGGAGTTCCTTGCGGACTTCCGCCTCATTCGGTGGATCAGTCGTCATCGGTCATGGAGGGCAGGACAGTCTGACCGATGTTGCCGGAGCAGCAGGCCAGTTTAACTACCCTTTGAAAAATTTTGCCCACCGTCCAAGACGTCGATGGATGTTAGTGATTGGCATCCCATCATCCTCGCAGATTGTTTCACTCACACCAGACTTCTTGCTGCCAGTGGCTCGGATGAGCTGGAAGAGCTTCCGGTAGTTACCAGATGCAGCTGCTGTTTCCAGCTCATTAGCACACTTCGACCACCAGAAGTTGCAACCAGCTTGCTAATATCAATCCTTTGCTGGCGGTCACTTCGTTGTCCACTGAAAAGTAAGGTAAGATTGCCGCAGACCAAGGCATGGTCAGAGTCCAGATAGGTACTCCAAATGGAGCGGCAGTCTTGTACACAACCACGCCAGCGGTAGCTGATCGCGATGTGATCAATCTGAATCCAGGCTTGGGATGCAGAGGGAGGACGAAAGGTGGCACATCGGCGATGACTGTGCCGAAAGTTAGTGCTAGCCAGAAACAGGTTGTGGCCTGTACAAAGTTGCAGTAGACGGTCCCCGTTATCTGACCTGCGACCAACGAGTCCCCATCGGCCACCTAAACGACTCTCTTCTGTGCCTAGACGCCCGACCTGAGCATTCAAGTCTCCGGCTAGTACTACAATATCTGTCGAACGCACTTTCTGGAGAAGAACTGATAACTGGTGGTAAACCTCATCCTTGATTGCATCCGGGCTGCAATCTGTCGGGGCATAGGCGGAGATGACGAAAAGACATCGTTTCTCACGCCGATTTCTTCTCACTTTGATGGAACTTTCTAATCTAACAGCACATAACCGACTGTTAATGGGGATCCAATCGACTAGTGCTGCCTCAGCTCTAGCGCGACACCAACGCCAGCAAGACCAGACGAAGATGCCACAGGGTCCCCGGATAAGCGCACGTAAAACAAGCTTTTCGAAGCGACAGATGGAGATCAAATTTGTAGTACTTCGCCAGAGTCTTGAATACGGGTCTCGGATAGACAGCAGACATCGATATGAAGACTTTCCAAAGACATAGCCAGCCCTATCTGTTGACCAACCTGCATAAATGTGCAAACGTTGAAGGCAGCCAGTTTGAATGGCGCACGTGGTTTCAGAAAAACTGCTTCAGTACTCATATTCGGTGGTAACATACAATTTTCAACCGGACAGTGACTCGAGAACGTTTAGATACAGTGGGATTTCCCCCAAAGACGAGCCGCTGTATAAGTATAAAAGAGGGTGAATAGTGTGGAAAATAATAATAATAATCACAATAATAGTAGTAATAATAATAATAGTATTAATAATGACAATAATTGTAATGATAATTATTTGAATCGACTGATTGTTTTTCGTGGCGAGAAAAGTAATTTCCACAGACAGAGAGTTCATCGTTTGTGTGTGGGCTGCGATACTGCCCGGGTGCCCAAACCGAAGCAGGTGTTTATCTTAGGGGGCCACTCCTCGAGCCTTTGACATAAAGGTCTAACCCACATGGCAGTGGAGCATCGTGAGGAGATGCAATCCCATGGTAGCCGGTGACCAAAGATTGATTCATACGCCATTTGTCCCCGCAGGATACTGGAGCCCATGTGCACCATCGGTTTGTGGTCCGGTTAAAGCGCCGGACATTCGCTTTTCGTCCTCTTATTTTCGTAAACAACACCCCCGCCACGAGAAGGCAATGAGTAGGACTTCCCTGGCAGAGATGAGATGACTTATATCACAACTATTACTATAGTTGAATATGCAGAATAATACACAGTAAATGAATTAAATATATGACTAAAACTAAAATGTACAAATAGATTACAGTACAAAAGTCTTCATATCGGAAAGAAACAAATGAGGACTGCAGAATACAAGAAATAATTTCAATTAAAAACGATAAGAAAACACGAATGAAATATTAAAAAAACAAGACTATAGAGAAAAATCAGACAGAAACAATCATACTCAGATTCAAAAATTACAGCCAATAGAAATTTCAACAAAACATGAAAAGAACGAAAAAACAGAATACATAATTGAGAAGAACAAAATCGCAAACAATCGATTCAGGAAAAAAAGTCAGTAGAATAAAAAATTACAGCAAACAATAAACAAAGTGGGAAAATTGGCTTCAATTTCGAATACCTTAAGCATACTTG